AGTTGATATTTATGAATATTTTAAATTTCTTATATTTGAGTATGACAATTCTAGTAATTCTTAAAGAGGAGATTTTGCATTTTCTATTCTTAACATTTCTATGATTACCTACAAGACAAAGGAAGCCATTTTAGGGTCAAATATATTTTCTCATCCTATTAGGTTAAGGTTTGAAAATACATTTCAAAGTATTCCTTTCAAAAGGTTACACAGTTCTCTAATAATATATTCTTCAAATTCTGGAAAAATCTTTGTATGCTTTCTTTGATATTGTTTAAGTGAAGAATTTTAACAGGAAGGATATCCAAAACAAATATTTCCTTTTTTTAATTTTGTAATATATATATTGATTAATTGTCAATAAATTATATTAATTTAATTAAATGCTTAAACCAAAAATGATAGAAAATGAAAAAGAATTTTCATGTTCTTAAGGTCATAAGTTACCTGTCGTTACTATTGCACTTGATCCAGATTTATCAATGAATTAAAGACTCTTATGTACAGAATGTTTAGAGAATACAGACTTAGATGCTAAAGTAGTTGGATTAAAGAAAATTATTTCACTAATTGAAGAAGGATAGATAAAAAAGATGGAAAAAGTAGAATACTTAATAACCAGCTAAATAAAATTAATTGAATAATTACATGATCAAGTAGATCATATGAAATCACTTGTGATCTAATAATTTGACTAATCGATTACAATATTGAAGGAATGGATTTAAAATCTATAGTAAAAAGGATCATAATAACATCGTTACAGTTTTTAAGAGGAATTATAAATTATGCTGTAAAAATAAAATAAAGTTGATGATAAATTGTAATAATTAATTCATGAAATTTAACTAATAAATCACTGTTGGACTTCCAAACTACATCCTAAATTAGAATAATTTAATGCATTTGAAGAATATACAAAATGTTAAGAACTAATATCAAATTTGGAATTATCTTCTAAAAAAATTACTCAAAGTTAATAATAGGAATAAAAAATAAAAGTTCTCAATTATAACTTAGTTATGATAAATAAGTAAGAATATCAAAAATAATAATAAGAGATCAAATTAAAATTAATTGATTAATCTGTCAAATAAGAGGAATAATGTAATGTAATAGTTTTTGATTCTTCTGGGTCAATTATGGTATCAACCAAGAAGTTTGAGATTAAAGTATGGAGTTTTCTAAATGGAATAATCAAATTAGTACAAACATTGTAAGGACATACCGATTGGGTCTAATGTTTAGTTTATAGTAAAAAATAGAATTCATTTATTTCATGTTCTTTAGACAAAACAATAAGATGCTGGCAATAATTGAACTAAAATGATTGGATTAGTTCATAACCTTATTAATAACATACATCTTTTGTTTTTTGCATTCTATTAAATTAAAATGAGGATTTACTATTTTCTGGAAGTAATGACAAATCAATCAAAGTTTGGAAGGTTGACTTTAATCAAAATTAATTGACATTTCTATATTCATTAGATAAACATAATAAT